GTGTGTGTTTGTGTGTGTGTATATGAGAGTGGACACTGAGGTCAACACCAGGTGCCGACAGTCTGTTTCATCCTGGAACGCAATCTTCAGGCCATCCAATATCTGTGATATTGAGCAATATTATCCATAAATATAGCATACCTTAAAATTATATTTTTATCATATGTATCTACTGATAAACAGTAAGGCACATTCGTTATACTTATAAACTAACGACGCCATTTAAACGTCATTGTGTATCTTCCAAGAATGGTGAAACTTTGGAAAAACCTCGACGTAAATTTACATTGGCTGGTCTAGTGATTAATACACTTTCTAAACATTTTCTTCTAAAGAAGTTGTTTTCTCTACTAGATTATATACGCAAAAGACATATTTTTAAAAAAAATCATGTTTAAATTTAAAATTTTCAACGCATCTCGTTCGTACGCATGTGTAGTCACATCAACATAAAAAATAAACATAATTCGATGAAGTCCTAAATGACGAAACGCGTCACACGCAAACTTTTTACACTTTGTCATACTTTTGTTGTGGATTGTACTGATGATACATTGGCCATGTCTGAATGTAATATATATATATATATATATATATATATATATATATATATATATATATATATAAAAAATGACAATAGGAAAACTGGTAATTGCTGACGCGTTTCGTCCAATGTGGACTTTATCAAAGCAAAAATACGAAAATGAAATTAATTGAATAAAGTAACTAATAAAAACAAAAACAGAATGTACCTAGCAACTGGAATGTAGAGAAACGCTATTTTCATATTTTTAACTGAAAAATAACGTCAGTATTTGTCACGTGTGGAGAATATTGTCATTATATCTGTGTTGATGTATTCAACCATTTTCTTTTGATTTTTATAAATCTGTTGTGTATATTTGTATCTGCAAGAGCAGTAATTTTGTTAAGAAAGGTGAAATGGGGAAAAAACCTGGGCGTAGATTAATATTTGGGTAATTTTCTATGGCGGCACTCTCCAAAATTTTCCTTCTAAGTGAGTTATTTTCTTTTTTTATGAGTGTAGCATTTTTAAAATCAAAATTATGGTTGAATTTATTTCTATGTATGACTAGTGCATTAGCTGAGTTGTTTTTTGTGAGGTCTCTTTTGTACTCATAAATGCGTTTTTTTAAAGTTCTACTTGTTTCTCCAATATATTGGGATGAACAGTTTTGGCAATTTATTTTATAAATGTCTGCTTCAGAAATATTAGTGCTATTATTGTTTGAAGATCTTAGTATATCTATAATGGTTTTGGAAGTGTTTGTGACAATTTCAAGATTATTTAGATGGGATAGGTTATTCTGGATAGTGGACGTGACAGAATTGGTCGGTAGTATTATGCATCTGTTTTCATGTGATTTATTATTGCGGATTATGTTATTAGTTTCGTTTCGTTTGTATATTTTGTATGCCTTTCTTCTTGCGTTGTGGATGAAATGATATGGGTATTGTAGGTTTTTGAATGTGTTTTCTATGTATGTTTCTTCTTTAAGTAAATATTGGGGACTACAAATTCTTAATGCTCTTAAATAGAAACCTATAATAATTCCAGATTTAATTTTTGAAGAGTGGTTTGAATAGAAACTGATCAGATCATTTTTGTTTGTAGCCTTTCTGTAAACGTCAAAATTGAGTTCGTTATTATTTCTAATTAACAAAAAGACCAGGAACGGAAGAGTGTAGTTGGTTTCAGTTTCAAAAGTGAAGTTTATTGTAGGTTCAATATTGTTAAGTTTAGAGAGAAGATCCGTTAAATTGGTGTTTTTTGGAAATATTAATAATGAGTCGTCTATGTATCTGAAATATGAAGAGTTTGTAGGGAGAATACTTTTGAATTTCTAGAAAGTGACTCATTCAAAAATTTAAAGAGCATTAATATTATAAATTAATTGATATATATATATATATATATATATATATATATATATAATAAATATATACACAACAAAGAAATCCTCTGGTGAAATTTATATGTTTTGTGTGCAATTTATATGTTCTGTTATAATAAATGCATTGAGCTGTTTTTGTGGCAGAGTTTTAATATTTGATATTATTAAGATGTATTACCTGAACTATATATATATATATATATATATATATATATATATATATATATATATATATATATATATATATATATATATATGTATATATATATATATATATATATATATATATATATATATATATAATATACTTTGGGAGTTAAATATCATCGCCCACACAATGGAAATATATTAATTACGCACAAATCATATACAACTTGCAACACAATAACCATAAATAAAAAAAACGATAAAATGTCTTTCCTATACATTTCAGAGAAAATTGTATATTTTAAAGAACATACGTATACAGAGATAAAATGTTTTGTTTATCTGGTAGTCACCACATAGCCTTTCGGACATCTGTTTCATTTGGGTGTCGAAGGTGAAGAGAGATAAAATTTGACGTCTGTTTCAATTGTCGGTAAAACGCCTCTCCCGATGCATGATGGGAATTTTCATATTTATTTAACTATTTTTTATAATCCAATTTTGTCTTTATTCATTATTAATTTTCATTCTTATTTTTATTTTAAAGTAACTTTATTACTTAACTTTTTAAATATTCTATTTTTTATTAATTATTAATCATTTTCATTTCAAACTCCTACATAGTATAGTACTAAGGGTTAGAGGTTATTTATTGATTTATTTGTTGCTGCACTAAGCTTTATCAGCACACTTCCTTTCAGATTTAATATATATATATATATATATATATATATATATATATATATATATATGAGATATAACTAAAAAAATATATCTGTAAAAGGACAATATGAAAAAAAGCTCAATTATGTTTCATTTAAATACATACGGCGACCTACCAATCCCCACCCGCAACATACTTGTTGACAATACATAGCCTCACCAGCATGTAAAAAAATGACTAAAAATAATGGAATCATTATTAATAAAAATAATGGAATCATTATTAATAAAAAAGAAAAAGCCAACACTCCATAACATCAACTATGAACACGGCCACAATGTGCTAACCATGTTTGGAAAATAAAACATTCCTATAATTCTAGATAAATACTTAAAAATAAAATCCATACATTCATTTAAAAGTTAAAATAAAATCATCCTAGTTAATGGCTAAGAGTATAGCCGAAATAGTAGATACATAATGTTCTGACAATTTATATAAAATTTATGTCCGGAAAAGGGAAGAATTATAAGAACACAAGAAAAATTAAATAAAGAATTAACCGAAGTCCCTTCTCAGTCATTTTTAACGAAACTTGTATAAAAGAGGGATTACTGTTTAAATAACACAATTATATATATATATATATATATATATATATATATATATATATATATATATGTCCCAGAAATGGATATATTTGAACGAAGTTGCTAAGTGATTTTGGCTACTATAATCAAGTAGAATACGGCAGGAGTAATCGACTGGTACGCGTCGTAGTCGCAGGTAAAAAGTGTAGATCAATGGCGTAGTCCAATGGTCGTTGTTATAGACTTAGCTCTCAGACTAAGGCTTTTTTGATTCTTTTTACACGTCCGTCGATATGACGGACACCAGCCATTCACACTCCAGTGAGGGGGAACACAGGTGTATTCATATTCCATTATATATATATATATATATATATATATATATATATATATATATATATATATATATATATATATATATATATAAGTATCTGTATGATATATATATATATATATATATATATATATATATATATATATCTCTCTCTCTATATATATATATATATCTGTATATATATATATATATATATGTATATATATATATATATATATATAAGTATCTGTATATATAAGTATCTGTGTTATATCATATATATATATATATATATATATATATATATATATATATATATATATATATATATATATATATATGTATAAGTATCTGTATATATAAGTATCTGTATCCTTGAAACTGTAAATTATGATTTTTGCCGTGCCTTTAAAACCCAGTAAATTTAAAAAAATTTTACTCAAAAATCTGAGGATGAAATGGAACTAATGTCTTTAATTCAATTACAAAATTAAATTCTAAGCTTTTAGCTTCCATTTTTGAAACATGGTTAGAACTGGTTAGCGAAAAAAACATATTTTAAATCAGTTAATTTATAATATTAATGCTCTGTAAATTTACATTGAGCACTGTTTTGTAAAAATAAAAATATCTATAAGAACACCGGATTATATATCTTACTGTTCTTTCTTATATATATATATATATATATATATATATATATATATATATATATATATATATTTTGTGTGTGTGTGTGTGTGTACGAATGTATGTACGTGATCAAAAATTGAAGACTTCGAAGAATCGCATGCAAAGCAAACACATTTTTATTAGACAGTTCACTTGGTAATCCGAAGGTGACAATGTCGTTTCACTGGTAGAATATATCTTTTGTTTCTTTCTGATATCCCCTGAATTCGCAGGGAATCCATTTTCTTCGTGAGCGTTTTATTTGTTTCCGTACATTGCAAGTGCAGATGTTATTGTTTCATGGTTGATTAAGCCAAATACAAGTCAAGCGTCCGGCACGGATGAAGTGGAGCAAATTCAAGTTCTCATTTCCGGCACCACTAATGCTTACAAGTTGCCCGCTTGAAGGAATGAATCTTCGAGTGACTCATTTGCAATTGAATACCTCTTGAAGCCTTTTTAGGGCAACACCGTCGTTAATAACATTTTTCTCAAACTAGATCTTCTAGATATGCTTTTGTTGTCAACAATAAAATTTGTCACCATTAACTACTGTATATATTCGGATATAAGCCGACTTCAGGTATAGTGAAACCTCTGAATGTTTTGGAATTAATTTCACCCCCTTCAGAAAAAAAAATACTTCTGTATGGTGCAACCGGTCACCAAAAACGCATGATTTTTTAATCATTTCAAAA